CTTTTCCTAAACGTTTCATTATTTCCTCTTGGAGCGGGACCCGCCAAGCAACAGTTCTGCAGCAGAAGGTGCTGTAGTCAAGAACTAACAACAATACACGATTGAATTGACTCAATTAGACGGAACGAAGACCAGTCATGTGGGGAGATGGAGATCTGCCAGACGAGGTAGCGATGGCAATACTGTCGCTACTCGATTACGAAGATCTGATCAGCGTGAGCCTGGTGAATAGGAGGTCACACCTCCTCTGCAACGACGCCACGCTCTGGGCCGCCCTCATCAACTATCAAAGGCGATGGAGGCCGCAGTCATGCACGACTGTCGGTAGCTCTCGGTTACCACCTCGTGCGTTAGATGAACGGCTCGCCTTCTACGCCTCCCTTGCCGCCAACCTCGACCCTAGCACGCGCCAGCTCTTCCTTCGTACGCCCACACCAGCTTCTGTCTTGTCATGCTGCTGCTGACCGCTTCTCGTGCAGGGAACTTACCAGAGGCAGAGCCGCTGCATCCCAAAGCGGTGCTCGCCTACATGCGCCAGCAAAGAGAACAGTTCTTGCGCTTCGTGGACGACAGCGTCGGCGCCGCCTACGTGCCCCCGTTCGACTCCTTCCCCACCCTCCTTGTCGAGGCACGTTCCTCCCAAGCCCACAGCACCTCCGGCTTCACTTCTCCGTATTAGTCACTGGCAATTAATTAACGGCATTATGGCTCACATGTTCCGCGATCGTGGTGATGAAACCGGTCAGCTCTTGATGCAGTATGACTTTACGTGGCTGGTGATGCGGTTGACGCCGGCCGAGAAGCGTGCCACGTTGGCCAGCGAGCTGGCTTACTTCTTCCCGCCGCAGCAGGCCCTCTCCTTCCTTTTCTTCTCCGCTGAGCGCGAGAGTACGTCTTCTGTCTCCGATGGGTGCTTGCCTGCATGTTCCCGAGGGTTTACCCTGCGCTCTGTGTGCAGAGCCGCGTCTGCGATCCACGGCGCCTTCGGTGGTGTTTGCGTCTTCGTGGCTGCGTATTCGATGCCGACCGATGTTGCAGCATGCCCTGCGGTCGATGCTGACCGATCGCTCCTGGCTTCAGCACAACTCCTACGACACCTCGGTAACCTTCCCATCTATTGCTTTGATCAAGGGCCTCTGCCTGCT